TGCAAGTGTGTGTATCTGTGTGTCTGTGCGTCTGTCTTTTATGTATTACTACAACCTTCATCACATCGCCGTGAAACTTTGGGGAGTAAATGAGAGTACTCCTGGTGAGGTTTCTGCGGGAAAAAAAAAATCAAATTCTGTAAAACAATATTTTTTAATCTTGCGAGGGCAGCGCCCCTGGAGGGTGCAATATTTCTCTACATACGGTATATTAAAAAAAAATAAAAGTCGGATACGGTTCGACACCGTTCACCCGAGTGCTATGAATTTTGGGGAGTTGATGAGAAGGAATTTGTGAACGAAATAATAAAAATTTAATATCGTCGCCACCCGCAAGGGTGCGATTTTCGCAGGGCCGGTGCTAGCTATATGGCGAACTAGGCGGTCGCCTAGGGCGCCATCCCTTGGGGGGCGCAAAAGGTTGAATCGCTATTAAAAAAAGTACCAAATAATTTATAACTTTTATAAAGGTATAGCGATCTATTTCGGGACCCAGGACGAACTATCAATTTTGCGCCCCCACCCCAAAATTACGTCTATACAGGCCTATATATATAACATTTGGAAAGGTCAGGGCGCATTTTACCAGTCACTTTGCCTTTTTAATTTGGTGTCACATAATTGATGTAGAAAACGATTAAATAAGTTTTAAATTTCGAACATTTCACACAGTTATCTAATTTTAATAGGGCTTGTAAGTCTCGTTTTCTCTGACTTTGAATTAGAAATCTGTCCTGGTGTATAGAGCTTTTTAATCACAGGGTGTTCAAAGTATTGTCACTTGTTTGGTAAGTTTTGATAAATCGTTTAGATTTGAGAGTAACGGCGGAAGGCTGTTGCTGATATGGTTTCGTAGGTATAAAGTATCGAAGTGTTAAAGTGTCATAATTTTTATTCGGCTGTTTTGTAGTGGAAGGTCTAGAGTCTAGTGGAATCTGATTGGTAACAGAGAAATGAGAATGCAGGTGATGAAGTATCGTAGTTCTAGAGTTCGTGAGTATTGGTTCGTGTGGTATTAAGGTATCGAATTATATTTAATGTTAAAGTGTAGTAGTATATCCAGTGAAAATCGTTGTTGATTGGGAGTATCGTTTGTAGAGCTCGGTGAAGTTGAACGAGTTGGTGTCGTAGTTCTGGAGCATCGAGTCTAGTTATGTTTAGGTATCGAAGTTTGATTTGTGTTGTGAATGTAGTAGATTGACTATATCGAGTAGTCGAGTTTATCGCACGTAAGATAATTTCAATTCAGGACGGAACACACGACAAAGAAAGGTAGGCGTTCTCTTGCTGACAATCTTTAGTTTTTTTAAAAGTCTATATTACCACTCTTAAGGTATTAATGTATAATATTAAATAGGATGGAATTTATAACTAACCGTAGACTTTGTTTTTTCAAAAGTATGATTTTTTAAAAATTTAATCAATTATTCTAGCAATGTCTAAAACAGGTACCTGTGTTTGATTTTTTGAAAGGCGTCCCCTGATTTAGGGAATCCAAAATTTTATCTATAGTTAGGATTAAAGCTGTAAAATGAAATGTTTGTCATCAAAATTGAATAGAAGTATGTTATAATAAAGCTACCGTTTCGCACTTTCAAACAAAACCTACAGTTAAGTATTTATTGGATGGGTAGAATATATTGTTTTTACAAGCTGTCATAGCTAATATATAAGTTTTGTTATAATTATTACATAATGCAATTTAGAACTTTTTATTGTGTTTTTCGAGCACGTCTTAGTTACACTTGATTAATTTAGCTATTCTTGTGACAGTTATTTCCCTTGAATAAAATTTTGGTATTTGGATTTTGAAATGGGAGATAATTCTTTGCTAAACTTTACATTCGCTTCAAATTCCTGCACCGTAGGTTGACCGCTTACTTATAAATACAACATTAAGTTATTATTTGCAATTGTAAAAATTATTTAGAGCTTAAGTTCGAAACAAAATAGTTTGGTAGTTTTTTTTTAGCATTATCAAGTTGAAAAACAAATACACCAGTAACCGTTGTAGATTGCAATACTTAATGTCAAAACTTTAACAGGCGCAACCGCCCGCGACCCGTAGATTGCAGGACCCGAACCGCCCCGGCCTCCCCTGCGAGCAACATGGCGCCTACGTTAGTTTAAAAAAGGCTATACACTAAAAACACGATGGGCAACAAAACTCGTTGACTATATCGAACCCGGCGCCATTGTAGGGTTTAATTATTTGGCGCCCTGGGCTTTCATGTGAGCGCAATGGCGCCTACGTTCGTTCTAAACAATTCGATGGACAATGGATAAGTCGGGGCGTTACAGTCGCTCACTAAATCGAATCAGGCGCGTCCTCTGGTGGGCGTCTCTGCAGGGTGCGATTTGGCGCCCAGGACTATCCTGCGAGCACTATGCAACTACAATATTGACAATGCGGCACACGACATTCGATGTTTAAACCGAGCTAGGGCCGAACGCAGCACACCTATGGTAGTGTTATCGGGTTCACGATATCACCGCTTTCCGTTCTCGATACTTAAGCGGCGAGTGATTCACGGTGATATTACGGTGAGTGATTAACTTGCACTCAAGGCTTTCATTCAGGACGCTATGGTGGCGGCGGTAGTGTAAGTAAACCCGTGCCCCAATAAATATGATCCAAAAACAGGCATTAGATAACTCAGTTTTAGAAAAATAGGAAGTACATTGAAATAGGGAGCAACTAAATATTCTTATACAATAGCAAGTGATTGTTTATATTTATTATTATATCGTTCATTACCCAGTGTTGCAGACTAATATTTTTATGAGTTCTAAAAATAAAAACAAATACAATAATCAGAGGCGTAGCGATGGGGGGGGGGGGGGGGCAGGGGGTGCGGACCGCACCGGGTGACACCATTTAGGGGGGTGACACCAGGGCAAAAAATAGCAAAACATATAGAGACAAATTTCAGGGGGGGGGGGGGGGGCAAATCGAAAGTTTGAGGGGAGGGGGGGTGCAAATCGAAAATTGAAAGTGTGTCCCCGGGCCGCTACGCCTCTGGGGGGGGGGGGGTGACACCGTTAAGTGCCGCACCGGATGACACCCGACCTCGCTACGCCACTGACAATAATTATTACTGTTTGTGCATACAGCTGAAGAGCCGCATATTGACGAATAGGCATTGTCCATTTGGAAAAAACTTTCTCTGGACATTTGGCTTTCGGGCATTTGTCTCATTCGGACATTTGTCTCATTCGGACATTTGTCTCAATCGGGCATTTGTCTCATTCGGGCATTTGTCTCATTCGGGCATTTGTCTCATTCGGGCATTTGTCTCATTCGGCCATTTGTCTTATTCGTGCATTGGTCGCACAGGGCAAACGTCTAATTAAGCAAGTGTCTTTCAGGCAATGGTCCAGCTCCCGTATTGCTACTTAATATTATTCCTTGGGTTCCGCAGTGAGAACTTGGTAAAGTTAAAGCTTTGGGACCTGAAGCAGAGCTTATCTGTATCCTTCCCAAATTATTTTATCAGACTGAGTTTTATCTCTTACGCTTCATTTTATCGAAAAAAGCCAAGTGGATATTCATTCAAGTATTTATCTACAGACAAAAAAATAAATTAAACTAAAAAAAAAAACCAATAAAATAAAAAAAAAAACAATAACTCTAGTTATTAACAATTTTAAAAATTATAATAAAAAAAAACCAGAAAAAAAAAACAGAAAAAAAAACCAACAACCGTGAGGCCAGTAAGTCATTTTACACTAACCGCACTGTCGGCGATCGACCTAATCCTAACCTGTCATGATCAAATGTCTCACACACATTCCGTACACAAGAACACACCGTGTACAGATAAAGTTATGTACGGGGTTAAAAGATAGGACGGGGGGCGAGCGAAGAGTTCACGTGACCTATCACGTGGGAGGTCAGAAACTGGTGTCATCGCTGGATGATAGCGGCGGTACAGGTCTCTGGATTAGACCTATTGGAGATAAAGATATGACCTTTTTATGACGGGTCGACTGCTCTCTGTGAAGGTCAAGTGTAACAGGTGTATTAGATGGTTAACGCTCAAGCGAATTTTATTTTTTTAAATTAGCCTTTTTGCACGTGACTGTCATTTAAGTAGATGTAGTAGAGTTCACCAGTTTGTTTGACTACGGTGTATGATCAGGTAGATTTAAAAAAATTCCAGAATCTTCTAAGTTCTCAAGTCAAGTTAGGTAACCACCCCGAGGCTACTTGCCGGACCAGCTGACCATCTTTGAGAAAAAAAATCGACCTCGATATGGTTATTGTATAAAAAGTATAGATATTCCACTCCCCCCCCCCCACACACACATCCTATCCCCTGTCATACCAATTAAAAAAAATTTCTTTCTTCTCCATGAGGAGGGGGGGGGCACTTGAAACTTTCAGGGAAGGGGCTATGGCGTAACTAGGGGAGGGCGAGTGGGGCGGCCGCCTGGGTCGCCGACCTTAAAGGGGAGCCAAGAAGTTAGAAAAATTAATTTAAAAGCTCATTTTAAGCTGAAGTATTAAATTATATACCGTCAAAGTTACGAAATTAAACGACTTCAAGGCTTTTCAAATTGATTTAACTGTTTTCTGTATCAATTTTGTGGCACCGAAATAGACAATCTAATGGAATAGTAACTGGTAAGAAGCTCCACAAACCTTTCCAATTTATTTACTTTGGGGTGGTGGTGGTGGGGGGGGGGGGTTCAAAGACAGAAATAACTATAAATAGAATGGGAGGGAGGGGCGCAAAAATGTATAGTCCAATGGGCGGACACTGGTAAAAAAAATTAGTTTGTATATAATTGCTACTTCGTTCGGGGGGGGGGGGGGGGGGGAAGAGGGGGGGGGGTCGGTAGATGTGCTTTGGAGCGATGCCCCCCCCCCCCCACCTCTCAAGAAAAGATGCCTGAAAGAAACACTGGGCCTTTACGTCACTCCCTTCACATAAGCTGTGAACAGATAGCGCTTGAAGTAGAAAACAAATTCCTCCAATGATACTGAGTGACAGATAACTCAAGCCCGCGGCAGACGTGACTACTCGAAAAACAACGCGTCGTCACGTCTGGTCACTGACGTGTCGCCACAGCCTATAAAAACCTGGCCACTCGCGAGCTGTACCGTCTGCGGCAAACCACGTAAGTAGCTTCAACACACTATAGGTTTGTTAGCACAATTTGAGCGTTGTGTTTTTTTTTAAGTTAGTTAAGTCGAAGTCCAATCGCGTGGACTGATTAAGTGTGTTAAGTGTTAAGTGTGTTAACGTGTGTTAAGTTAACTGTTGTGTTGACAGACAGCTGTGTGTTAACTTGACAAATTAAAGTTTTTATAGATTACATTTTGATAACACCGACACTGGCAATGTAATGTGTACTAAGTGCGCATTCAAACCAATTTTATTGACTCCGTTATTAAAGAATTATTTCAGTTCTAACTCGAGGCGTTCGCAGGAGGGGTGCAGGGGTAGTGTAGCTCCAGGTGAAAATATTTACATAAAAGCGAATGTTTTTAGGAAAAAGTTCAGTTCAGGGTTGAAAACTTATGAACTTATGAACAGATGAAGTAGAGTTTATCTGTTTATTTGACGTGGACCGTTACAGGGATAGCACTCGCCCAGTAGCCGATAATTTCTCTAACGTGAGTTGAGTGTGCATCAGAGCTGAAAGAACTCAGGGAATTAAACTCGGGAATTTCGCGAAGCAGACGTGAGCTTTCCCAGACGACCATGCCGTCCTATAGTTTAACACTGGACCAACAAAAAAGTTACCAAAACACTAGCTCATATAAATTATATTTCGTTCGGTGGGAGGGAAGGAAAGGGGTGGCGTTAGAAGCAGCTCTTCGCCCAGAAGAGATGCCTGGAAGAAACTCTGGGCTTATGAAGGGATGGCTCAGTCGCATTTACTTTCTCTAACATAAGTTAGGTACCCATCAAAGCTGGGTAAACTCAGTGACGTTCTACTGACTTGGACCCGGATTCAAACTCGAAACTTTCGGGTTAGCATCCTAGTACTCTACCGATTAGACCACGCCGTCCCAGTTATAATTACAAAAAAAAAATTTCCCCAGCTACAATGTCACAACCAGTAAAACGACACTACGACCCCGCTGTCAAAGAATTTATAACCGCCCTGCGGCTGGCGGAAGAGACGGGCGCGGCTCCAGAGCTGGTGCAGGCGCTCAAGTACGGCCTGGAGCTGGTGGATCTCAGGTGGCAGTTCACGCTGTTCGGCACCTCCAACGAGAGCCAGGCTTGTAGGAATATTCTAGAAGAGACACACAAGCACGATTGGAAGACGCTGCACGAACAAGGGAAAACGACGTGGGAACTGAGGCCTGGTATGATGAGTGGAACTTTGGAAGGTAGGATCAGATTTTTTACTGCTATGTCGTGGGATTTTGGAAGGTAGGATCAGTTTTTTACTGCTATATCGTGGGACTTTGGAAGGTAGGATCAGATTTTTTACTGCTATGTCGTGGGATTTTGGAAGGTAGGATCAGTTTTTTACTGCTATATCGTGGGACTTTGGACGGTAGGTTTAGTTTTTGTACTGCTATGTCGTGGGACTTTGGAAGGTAGGTTTAGTTTTTTTACTGCTCTATCGTGGGACTTTGGAAGGTAGGATCAGTTTTTTTACTGCTATATCGTGGGACTTTGGAAGGTAGGTTTAGTTTTTGTACTGCTATATCGTAGGACTTTGGAAGGTAGGTTTAGTTTTTGTACTGCTATATCGTGGGACTTTGGAAGGTAGGTTTAGATTTTGTACTGCTATATCGTGGGACTTTGGAAGGTAGGTTTAGTTTTTTTACTGCTATATCGTGGGACTTTGGAAGGTAGGTTTAGTTTTTGTACTGCTATGTCGTAGGACTTTGGAAGGTAGGATCAGTTTTTGTACTGCTATATCGTGGGACTTTGGAAGGTAGGATCAGTTTTTTTACTGCTATATCGTGGGACTTTGGAAGGTAGGTTTAGTTTTTTACTGCTATATCGTGGGACTTTGGAAGGTAGGTTTAGTTTTTTTACTGCTATGTCGTGGGATTTTGGAAGGTATGTTTAGTTTTTTTACTGCTATGTTGTGGGACTTTGGAAGGTAGGATCAGTTTTTTTTTACTGCTATATCGTGGGACTTTGGAAGGTAGGTTTAGTTTTTTTACTGCTCTATCGTGGGACTTTGGAAGGTAGGATCAGTTTTTGTACTGCTATATCGTGGGACTTTGGAAGGTAGGTTTAGTTTTTGTACTGCTATATCGTGGGACTTTGGGTGGTAGGTTTAGTTTTTGTACTGCTATAACATGGGACTTTGGAAGGTAGGATCAGTTTTTTTACTGCTATATCGTGGGACTTTGGGTGGTAGGTTTAGTTTTTTTACTGCTATATCGTGGGACTTTGGGTGGTAGGTTTAGTTTTTGTACTGCTATGTCGTAGGACTTTGGAAGGTAGGATCAGTTTTTGTACTGCTATATCGTGGGACTTTGGAAGGTAGGATCAGTTTTTTTACTGCTATATCGTGGGACTTTGGAAGGTAGGTTTAGTTTTTTACTGCTATATCGTGGGACTTTGGAAGGTAGGTTTAGTTTTTTTACTGCTATGTCGTGGGATTTTGGAAGGTAGGTTTAGTTTTTTTACTGCTATGTTGTGGGACTTTGGAAGGTAGGATCAGTTTTTTTTACTGCTATATCGTGGGACTTTGGAAGGTAGGTTTAGTTTTTTTACTGCTCTATCGTGGGACTTTGGAAGGTAGGATCAGTTTTTGTACTGCTATATCGTGGGACTTTGGAAGGTAGGTTTAGTTTTTGTACTGCTATATCGTGGGACTTTGGGTGGTAGGTTTAGTTTTTGTACTGCTATGTCGTGGGATTTTGGGTGGTAGGTTTAGTTTTTGTACTGCTATAACATGGGACTTTGGAAGGTAGGTTTAGTTTTTTACTGCTATGTCGTGGGATTTTGGGTGGTAGGTTTAGTTTTTTACTGCTATATCGTGGGATTTTGGGTGGTAGGTTTAGTTTTTGTACTGCTATAACATGGGACTTTGGAAGGTAGGTTTAGTTTTTTACTGCTATGTCGTGGGATTTTGGGTGGTAGGTTTAGTTTTTTTACTGCTATATTGTGGGACTTTGGAAGGTAGGATCAGTTTTTGTACTGCTATGTCGTGGGATTTTGGGTGGTAGGTTTAGTTTTTGTACTGCTATGTCGTAGGACTTTGGAAGGTAGGATTAGTTTTTTTTACTGCTATATCCTGGGACTTTGGAAGGTAGGATTAGTTGTTTTTTTTACTGCTATTGCGCGGGACGTTGGAAGGTAGGATCAGTTTTAAACTTTTATATTGTGGTATTTTGGCAAGCAAGCAGTTTTCATTTTACTGCTGGTAGTTTGAAAAGCAAGTTCAGTTTTTTTACTGCTATATCGCCCTACATAGGAAAGTAAGCTCAATGTATAACTGCTTTGTTGTTTTGAAATCTGTGTGTAACAGTGATTTGAACTGCTTTCTTTGTTATATTGAAAACAATCTGAACGCCTTTGAGCTGTAGCTTATATATGATCTTTAATATAACCCTAATCCACAAGGTAATAGTTTAGGTTTATCGTCCTGTGTTCATAGACCACAATAGGCAGTGTTCAAGTTTCTCCTATTACGCCCCCATCCCCTCATCCAAGCAAGCAGAATCGTCACTTAATTGGTTTTAGGAGAAGATAGTTTATTAAACTAAACAAATCTAACTGATGTGTACCTGACTTAAGATAAGGAAATTCAAGGCAGCTGGGCATATTGCCGACCACATTATCCCATTTTATGCAGAGGTCACAGAAACAGATGAACTCTACTTCAACTGACCTGTGTGCCGCCAGTTCGAAAGGGAATTTTACTTATTTACTGCTAATAATAAATCAACACTTTTTTTTTTTTTTGCTTAAAAAACACATACATTGGTAACGACATGGAGAATGCATTTTTAATGAGTTTTTGTTGTTCTTGCTAAAAAGAATACTAAATTAAATAACAAAAGGGGAGTTAAAGAGATTAATTAGCAGCGATACTGCTTTTATTAGAACTCAACATTTCTGGAGCTATACAAACTTTCTAAAATTACAACGAAAATATTTGTGTTTATTTTCTTAGTGCGTTAACAACCTTGTTAATTAAAGTTTTTATACTTGCTTTCTTGCTAACCAGGTCAGTTTCTGAAATCCATTGTCAGTATCCAGCGAGCCAAACGTGTCCTTGACATTGGTATGTTTACTGGCTACAGCGCCTTGTCTATGGCTGAAGCTCTACCAGGTATTTCAGATGTATAAAACGTAATCCAACGTCAATGCAACATCATAAACATCAGTCTAGCATCAATCAAATATCAAGTTAAACCAAACAATCATGGAATAATCATTAAACTAACATGTGTATAACATATCTAAATATTTTTTTTCCAATTTTAAAAAATCGAGATCTACGATCTTTTAAAAAAAATACGAATATTATTAACTTATTAATGCATAATACAATGTTTTTCAAAATATAGGCCCACCAGTCAAGAACAGAAGTGCATATTTTTGCATTGTTATACAATGAAGTAGAGTTGGGTTGCCATGATAATGCCCAGCGTGTTTACTTTCCTATGAATGGTACCTATTGGAGCTGAGTTTGCTCAGTTTCCCTAAATGTAGCGTACATCTATACACATTCACCCTGCACCACTCCCAAATGCACTCTGTATATAACACAATAAACACAGTTATGAACTGAGTACACAGCTATGCACAGTCCCCTGCACTATTTGTAAAACTATATGAACCAATTAACGAGCTCCCAGTAGGGCTGGTAAGTAGGTCAATAAACAGTTCTATGGCTCATGCAGGTTTTATTGAGACGTAGAACTGGTTGATGACCTACTTACCAGCCCTAATTTGTATCAGATCCAAAATTCATCCAAAGTTTGTGTATTAAACTCCTGGCATGACACCAATACAACCTATACGACTGTCTTGCCCCTGAGAGCCATAATTTCATGACTAAGCTACAGTTGTATATCATGTTAATTCTTATTTCAGACGATGGAGAATTGGTTACTATAGACCAAGACGAGTATCTCAAGACTTATGTAGGGGAAACATTGCTAGCTAACTCGCCACACCAAAACAAAATTAAAATCTTAATCGGTGTGTATGTCATTGGCTTCTTTCTGAATAATTTACATATTTAAAAATGTATTTAATTTAAAAAAATTAAGAAACAATGAAGTAGTTGAAGCATTATATGAGTATAATAGTTTACAAAATTAGCAAGAGTGTTTGTAGTTCGTTAAGAGAGTGCGTGTTTGTGTGTGTGTGTGTGTGTGTGTGTATCACAATGTCTATCTTTTAGGTTGTAATATGATTTACAAAAAAGTATGTGTGTATGTAGTTTGCTAAAATAGGATGTGGTTTTTTGTGTGTGTCTAGCACATAGGTTCTATGAGTATTATAATTGGTTTTCTAATGTTCTAATGATAAGACTTATTTTTTTTTTACAGGGAAAGCCCCAGAGATTCTTAAAAAGATGGCAGAGCAGAAGGAGTCGTTTGACATCATGTTTTTAGACGCCGACAAGTCAGAGTACTTGGAATACTTTAAGGTGTTATGTCATTTTTTACTCATGACCCACATAAAAAAATCTTCCTTAAAATAGTTTAAAATCGATTAAGCCTACCGAATTTTAATTTTAAAGATGTATCATGTATCATTGCCCTGGTTGTGATAATAGTTTTTTTTTTTTTCGTTTCGTTTTGTTACTATTCAATTTGATTTTTAAAATATTTTACAAAAAATGCCGTAGCATAAGTTAACTATCTGCTACAGATTCACTATCGAGTGTTGTTGGTAAATGGGCAAATAGGATTACAATTCAAAACATTCGATAAATATCTATATTAATACATTTACCACTGTGTTCGTTTCGTATGGATCAATAGACAACGTCATGCATCGAAGGCGAAGGGTTTTGAGGGGGGGGGGGGGGGGGGTGGGGTTTGAGAGGAAAGGATTTTACTTTCTGTCTTTTTAGATCAAGAGCTCCTAGGTGTCGGGGAGAGGTTTAAAAAATGTGACGGTAGATACATTGAGATTTCCTTCTAACTACAAATGGCTTAAAGCATGAAGATTTTCATTAGATATTTTCATTTTGAGAGAGGGATGGGGAATTGAATTGCAACGTGGTTTTATGTGAAACTGCTCGACTTTTTGTGACAAAGTATTGTGTTAGCGGAGAGGGGAGGTTCGGTTAAACAGCCTAGCTTCATTCTTTGTTTGACATATACGTATTAGCAAGTGTAGCCTACTAAATAACCGTAAATACATTATTATTTAATGCTTTATATTTTTTCGTGTTGTTTGTATTTGAACAAAACCTGCCTGCCCCTAAGAATACAGGGCTAGTAGAAAATATGGTAATTATTCCCACATTTAATGCCTCTGTTTAGTTTGCATTTGAACAAAACCTGTTGGCACCCAACGGCACGGTGCTAGTAGACAACGCCTACAGAGGCGGGGACGGATACATCCCTTCAGCTGGTGAAACTGTCACTAAGACTTTCGTCAAGGCAGTGCACGATAACTCCTCTTTGCATAAGGTAACTAAAGGATATAAGGCTATAGCTAAAAATAGAACGAATATAAATATATTTAATATTGCTAAAAGCAGAACTAATTAAAAAATATTTAATATTGCTAAAAACATAACTATTTAAAATATGTTTAATAAATATATGTTTAATATAGCTAAAAACTGAACTAATTTAAATGTATTTAATATTGCTAAAAACAGAATTATAAAAAGATTTTTTTAATATATATCTAAAAAAACAGAGCAAATATAAATCGATTTAATATTGCTAAAAACAGAACTAATTAAAATATATTTAATATTGCTAAAATAATATTAATATAAATATACTTAATATTGCTAAAAACAAAACTAATAAAAATTTATTTCATGTTGCTAAGACAATAATTTTAAAACATCATAATTGTGTTTTGACATCGCCAGGTGCTTGTGCCCATTCGTGACGGTGTTTTGATGATTCGTCGTCTCGCTGATGTTGAAAGAGCTGCGGTATAAGCAATACATAATATACATAACATAATACCATTCTGTTCACATTGCATTCACTCTTACATAATAAAAGAAATCGATCGACAAATTGACAAGCGTTCACTCCATTTTTTAAAACTGTTTTTATTTGTGTGAAGTTTTATTTTTACAATTAATAACAGCCTCTCTTGTTCGAAAATAGAAGTCCTCAAATTATTATTAAACGCAGATTTCGATCCAATTATGTTTCGCTTACATTTGGTTCGCGATTCTAGTCATATATTGAAAATGTAAATATTTAGACGTATACAAAGGAAATTTCATTATAAATGATATTTTAATAATTTAAAAGTTAATTTTTTGTTGTCTTAAGATCAGTTTTAATCTGTTGTTAAAAAATGTTATATTCAGTAGTTATATCCCTTTAAAAAGAGTTGGCTCCCTTATAAGTAAAATAGTAACAACATAATTTATACCTATCTATCACATTAAATAATGATTGAATCCGTATTTCTTAATAATTTAGTTAGCATAAAATACAAATTATACTAGTATTTATGTCAATTTCACATATAAGTAGCATTTACTGTTTTAAAGTATTAATTTACAATTTATTCAATTGAATGTAACAATACGGATCCAACAGAGACTTTTACGGTGGGTGACAATAGCGCTTGGGTAACAGTAGCTTTGCGCAGTGGCGGTACCATAGCCAATGAGGTTTTACCGAGGCGTGGTTATTGCTAGTTGAAAACTATTCCCAATACCCCGCACAGACGACTTTCACAGGTCGGCTCGTGCAATTTTTGGCGGCTCTTTCGGGAGCCTTACAATTTAATGAAATGGGTGGATCAATAAATCGCCGTTTTAAAATTTAAATAACAATTATAAAGGCTTTTACTATCACACCAATAGCAGCATTTCTTTCAGTAATTCTCCAATCGGTGTGGATTGGGAGATCTTGAAAGTAAATTATATATTCACCACATAATCATAGATTCTATTTCATTTGAATGCGTATGTGTATGTGTGGGAGGATGGTGGTGGTGGAGGAGGTGGAGTAGGAGCAGTTTCCCTCAAAGAGATGCCTGAAAGAAACTCTGATCACTAAGTGGATATCAATTTTGTTTAAAAATATTGTGAAGTCGTTAAAATACGCGGCTCTTAGTCGACACCAGTACTCCACAGTCACCGTTGAGACAATTATGATTACTAAAACAAACAAAAAACAACTGTGAATACTAAAACAAAAAGAAGACAATTGTGAATACAAAAACAAAAGGAAGACAATGGTGAATACTAAAACAAAAACAAGACAATTGTGAATACTGATACAAAAGAAAAGACTATTGTGAATACTAAAATAAAAAGAAGAATATTGCGAATACTAAAACAAAACCATTGAAATAAAAAAAAAAGTTTTCTAAACGAAAAGTAACCGGACGTTTCGTTGATGCGTGACTACACTAAAAACCACACGTCATCACGTCTGTACTATAACTTGTAAACAACTTTTAGAGAAACCTGGGCAGTCTCGTGCTGTACCGACTGTATCAACAACTAAGAAGTTCTCCCAAACGCTGCAGGTTTGTTGTTAGGATGTTAGGTAAATATATTTCAAATATTTATAAGAGGTAAAGGTGACATTTTTGTGTGTGTACTGGAGGGATACAGGTTGTTTTATTTTAAAACTTTACTTACGTGCGAGGAGTCAAACAATTTAAGTCTAGCACTACTGATATTTTCCCTTTTATAAGGAATGCCAGTATATGCTGTGAATTGAGGGAGCCGCGTTTGATAAAATGGGTTCCATTATTATTCCGGACAAGAATAAAAATATTTTTTTCCTTTCGAATTTGTTTTGATGGCGGCCGAAAAATTGAAAAAAAAATCGCCGTCCTGAAAATACTGAGGAATCTAATGTTATAACAATGTTATAAAATTTGCAGATACTGAAATCGTCACGTCTGTACTCTAACTTGTGAGCAACTTTTAGAAAAACCTGGCCAGTCTCGTGATGTACCGTCTGTATCAACAACTAAGAAGTTCTACCAAACGCTGCAGGTTTGTTGTTAGGATGTTAGGTAAATATATTTCAAATATTTATAAGAGGTAAAGGTGACATTTTTGTGTGTGTACTGGAGGGATACAGGTTGTTTTATTTTAAAACTTTACTTACGTGCGAGGAGTCAAACAATTTAAGTCTAGCACTACTGATATTTTCCCTTTTATAAGGAATGCCAGTATATGCTGTGAATTGAGGGAGCCGCGTTTGATAAAATGGGTTCCATTATTATTCCGGACAAGAATAAAAATATTTTTTTCCTTTCGAATTTGTTTTTATGGCAGCCGAAAAATTGAAAAAAAAAATCGCCGTCCTGAAAATACTGAGGCATCTAATAATGTTATAACAATGTTATAAAATTTGAAGATACTGAAATCGTACATCTAAAAAAATAAGGCTAGTTCCTATATGTCCTGTTTTGACTGCCTTTCATTCATCTTTTATTTCTTTTTGTTTTAAGGTCGATAGGTTCTTTACTGTTTTTAAATTTTATCATCAGTAGTTATTTCCCTTATAGTGAGTTGTCTACCTTATGTGTAAAATAGTGACAGCACAAACCATATATATTGATCACATTAAAAAATGATTTAGCTCATATTTCATTATTCTTTTGTGAGGATAAAATAAATATTATTGTATCATTGATAAGAATTTTATACATAAGTTGCATTTATTTTTTGAAAATATTAATTCACAATTTATTCAATTAACTGTAACAGTACGGATATAACAGAGAATTTTACGGTGGGTGACAATAGTGCTTCTAATCATGTGGCTTTGCGCAGTGGCGGTACCATAGCCAATGAGGTTTTACCGAGGCGTGGTTATTGCTAATTGAAAACTATTCCCAATACCCCGCACAGACGACCTTCACTGGTCGGCTCGTGCAATTTGTGGCGGCTCTTTCGGGAGCCTTACAATTTAATGAAATGAGTGGATGAAAAAAAAATTTAGTGTTAAAGGAGTTATAGTGGCTATGTTACTACTGTTATACAAATAGCAATATTTCTTACAGTAATTTTCTCGAAAGGGGGGGGGGGGGGTATGAATTTGACGTATCAGTCTCTTAGTTTTGGGTAGGGTGGGGGCGTTCTTCGAAGGGTGTGGGTTTGTGGGCCAATGTTCCTCAAAGAGATGCCTGAAAAAAAAGCTCAGACCACAAGGTAAACATTAATTTTGTTTATGACTATAATATACCACTCTGGAGTCGCTAAAATACACGACACTGTGAATTTAGGGAACCGAGTATGATGAAATGGGTTTCATTATTATTCCGGACAAGAATAAAAATCTTTTTTTCCTTTCGAATTTGTTTTGATGGCGGCCGAAAAATTGAAAAAAAAATCGCCGTCCTGAAAATACTGAGGAATCTAATGTTATAACAATGTTATAAAATTTGCAGATACTGAAATCGTCACGTCTGTACTCTAACTTGTGAGCAACTTTTAGAAAAACCTGGCCAGTCTCGTGATGTACCGTCTGTATCAACAACTAAGAAGTTCTACCAAACGTTGCAGGTTTGTTGTTTGGAAGTTAGGTAAATATATTTCAAATATTTATAAGAGGTAAAGGTGACATTTTTGTGTGTGTACTGGAGGGATACAGGTTGTTTTATTTAAAAACTTCACTTATGTGCGAGGAGTCAAACAATTTAAGTCTAGCACTTCTGATATATTCCCTTTTATAAGGAATGCCAGTATATGCTGTGAATTGAGGGAGCCGCGTTTGATAAAATGGGTTCCATTATTATTCCGGACAAGAATAAAAATATTTTTTTCCTTTCGAATTTGTTTTTATGGCAGCCGAAAAATTGAAAAAAAAATCGCCGTCCTGAAAATACTGAGGCATCTAATAATGTTATAACAATGTTATAAAATTTGAAGATACTGAAATCGTACATCTAAAAAAATAAGGCTAGTTCCTATATGTCCTGTTTTGACTGCCTTTCATTCCTCTTTTATTTATTGAGGTGTTAAGGTCGATAGGTTCTTTTCTGTTTTAAAATTTTATCATCAGTAGTTATTTCCCTTATATTGAGTTGTCTACCTTATGTGTAAAATAGTGACAGCACAAACCATATATATTGATCACATTAAATAATGATTTAGCTCATATTTCATTATTCTTTTGTGAGGATAAAATAAATATTATTGTATCATTGATAAGAATTTTATACATAAGTTGCATTTATTTTTTGAAAATATTAATTCACAATTTATTCAATTAACTGTAACAGTACGGATATAACAGAGAATTTTACGGTGGGTGACAATAGTGCTTCTAATCATGTAGCTTTGCGCAGTGGCGGTACCATAGCCAATGAGGTTTTACCGAGGCGTGGTTATTGCTAGTTGAAAACTATTCCCAATACCCCGCACAGACGACCTTCACTGGTCGGCTCGTGCAATTTGTGGCGGCTCTTTCGGGAGCCTTACAATTCAATGAAATGAGTGGATGAAAAAAAAATTTAGTGTTAAAGGAGTTATAGTGGCTATGTTACTACTGTTATACAAATAGCGATATTTCTTACAGTAATTTTCTCGAAAGGGGGGGGGGGGGGGGTATGAATTTGACGTATCAGTCTCTTAGTTTTGGGTAGGGTGGGGGCGTTCTTCGAAGGGTGTGGGTTTGTGGGCCAATGTTCCTCAAAGAGATGCCTGAAAAAAAAGCTCAGACCACAAGGTAAACATTAATTTTGTTTATGACTATAATATACCACTCTGGAGTCGCTAAAATACACGACACTGTGAATTTAGGGAACCGAGTATGATGAAATGGGTTTCATTATTATTCCGGACAAGAATAAAAATCTTTTTTTCCTTTCGAATTTGTTTTGATGGCGGCCGAAAAATTGAAAAAAAAATCGCCGTCCTGAAAATACTGAGGAATCTAATGTTATAACAATGTTATAAAATTTGCAGATACTGAAATCGTCACGTCTGTACTCTAACTTGTGAGCAACTTTTAGAAAAACCTGGCCAGTCTCGTGATGTACCGTCTGTATCAACAACTAAGAAGTTCTACCAAACGTTGCAGGTTTGTTGT